CGTGGCCACGCCCGTGCCAGGCCCGGCTTCGGCAGCCAAGGCTGCGGCGCAAGCATCTGCAGCCAAAGGTCCCGGGAAGGGCTTTGGAGCCTGGCCAACGGCGAAGGGCTCGGATTAGGACATATTTAGGGGTTGTATTTCGGGCATTGGAATTGTTTCCGAGACACCCGACGTCGCTAGTATCGACTTGGGTTGATCCAGGAGGAAGTGTAATGCCAGAAATGTGAAGGTTAAATCCGTGCTCATCCGAGCCCTTCGCGGATGAAGACAGATTTGGGTGTTGCGTCGTGGACAGTACCGGCCTGGCACGGGGTGAGACGTTGAAGCGCCGCAGACGTAGGGGGATCTCCGAGATGTCTTGTTTAGCAGAGAACCGGAAGGAAAATGGTTTTTGGGGGGAAGCTCCGCGTGATGTCGTGGCTTGGACGAGGGCGTGATCTGGAATATAAGCAGTGGTTGTCTTTGAAGCCTCACGCTCAATGTCAAGCTGTTCGGAGCTGTTGGAGATGATGGGCGTAAACGTATGCTGGTGCAGTGTATCAGTACCAAAATTGTGGAGGTTGTGTTCTAATACTGGTTGGGGTGGTTGCCAGGGCGGTCTAACCACCGATGACTTGGGAGGTGTACCTTTATGTTCCGCTTCCACAGGCTCCACACACAGCCAAGGCTGCGGTGCATCGAAAAAGCCGTTCTCTCACCTCCCACAGGTCCTCTGGCTGGTACACAAGAAGCCGTTCTCTCACCTCCCACGGGTCCTCTGGCCACGGGTCCTCTGGCTGGTGCACAAGCAGCCGTTCTCTCACCTCCCACGAGTCCTCTGGCTGGTAGACACCTGTTCCGAGTGATTTGCTTCGCCACAGCTTTCCACAATCTAATTCGAGACCAAAAATCGCCCGAAAGAGGTCTTCCGCGTACGCTCTCACTCAGAATGTCTAACGTTGCTTTCGGAACCCGTAAAACAAGTCTGTGAAGCAGCGTCGAGCACGCCCCGTCTTCCGCTCTCGAACCTTCAGCAACGCTTCAAGCCGCCTGCTGTGACGGAAACGCCTCGAAAGCCTCGAAGAAGCCGATCTCTCACCTCCCACAGGTCCTCTGGCTGGTAGGTGAGGCTGGTAGGTGAAGCAGCGTCGAGCACGCCCTTTCTTCCGCTTTCAGACCTTCCGCAACGCTTCGAGCATGCCCTCGGTTGCCTTCTCTGGCGCGCGCCCCCTTCAACCGGCGGGGTCGGCGGATATATAAGGGTACCGGGTATATATATATATATGGAACTTTGGAACTCACTCTATAGTCTTTAGCTGTTTGTACAATACACTTATGGATATATTGACTGGCTGGTGGGTTGGATACATGTTTGATTAGTTATGTCGAGGTGCCGGCAGACGGCGTCGAAACATGAGACCATAATACTTTTGGACGTTGAAGCAAATCATAGTTTGTTCAGATCAAGATAAATGCTGGCCCTCCAACAAGCTAAATATGCCTGAAACTCCAGCCTAGCCCAGGGGCTGTGCCTGTGGACGTCAAGTGGGGACGTTGCGCTTTGGCACTGGTTTTGCACCACTCCGTGGTGCTGGGATTGGTTGGCGCGCCTGGCAGATGAGGCTAGGCTAGGCTTCGGCTTCAGTCATCATTTGTGAAACAAAGTGAGACCTGGCTGGCCTTTTGTTCTCGCGCCGTAGCTTTGATGAAGTATTTTCCCATCATGCATACTATATCATATACCGTACCATTGCAATGCTTCTGACTCTGCTATCACTTGAACTTGTTGAGACTTTTCACCATACCTGCACACTACGTCGCAGGCATGTTGGTAAATCCCGTGCTTGCTTAAAAAGGCAACTTCTGCTAGCAGTGCTTACTTGTACCAGACTTGAGAGTCAGCGCATCTCAGCATTAAAGAGGCAATCAATGGTTGGAGCTCATGTCCCGGTTGGCTACGATGAGTTTTTGGAGCCTTGGTGCAGTTGCAGACCAGCGTCACAAACGAGGCTCAAAGTGCTATCCACTCAGTCCACTCGTTTGCTTTTCTTGCTTCATTGGCAAACAAGCGCACGGAGCATAGCAGCTGATTCCAGCAAAAGTAAGGAGCTTCGAGCCTTTGGCTCCGGTTTCCCACCAAGGATATGATGCAAGCTTCCATCACGTCACATGCATTGGACCTGGCTCTTCCATCTTTCGAAAGCCAGCTTTCAGGAGCGAAGTGTCAAGCCTGCCCTTCAGACCCTTTTGGATATTTCGGATCTGTTTGATTGATATTGATTGGTTCGGTGTCAAGTCTTTGCCACAGGCGAGTCCTTGGCAGTCCAACCGGAGACATCTCCTTCATCAAGCTCTTCTGGCCGGCAGATTTTGTTTTGATCCTTTATCAAACCTCAGTTATTCCTTCGATGGTACTGACAACCAGCAAGGTCCACTTCCATTCTTCCAAGCACGTTTTGGCAACCTTGAAGCCTTCTTGTGTCTCCCAGCTGTGGTTTTCACCGAAGGCAAGAAGAAGCGAAGCTGGCTATCAGGCTTGGAAGCTACTGCCATCTAAGCTGGCACGTGTTTGCCTTGTAGAAGCCTTGAAGGGGGACTTTACATGTTCGTTGACTATCCACCACATTTGTACCAGTGTTTCGATGCATTTGCAGTGCTTAAGTGAAACCAAGAACTAGGTAAGGAAACACTGACATTGCGCCGTTGACAGGTTTCAAGAGAAGCAGTGAGAAACTCAACAAATCAGGACACCTGGCACTCTTAATTCAGTACATCCCTTCATGTTTCTTGCACCAAAGATGCTTCTGTGTGGAGTAGAGTAGAGTGTGCAGGAGCAAAGCGTCAAAGTGTGACCTGGCTCAGATAGGAAAGAAATGCTGCTGGTGGCGTTGCATGGACATCTTGAGGCGGCAGACCTTGCAAAGGAATGGGCCACCTTGCAGGAGGCGTGCCGAGTGATTTTTGTGGCCAGCGCTGGGATTCTGCGAGTTTGTCCATTTTCATTCGAAAAGATATGGAACTTGACCGTGGGTAAATAGTGAATTCTAGGGACCGTTCTTGCTCTCTTTCATTCTTGAGGGACCCTGATTGGCAAAGTTCTGGCAGCTTTGCTTTGGGGAAACAAAGATTGACGCAACGCCGAGTTTTGTAGTGATGTTACTTCCAGGGCAACTTTTATAACATTTTATAACTTCAGATTTTCAAATAAAAGACAAGTTCTTTATGAATTTAGTTGGACGATTGGGGATCCTTGAGTTCAGCACCCTGTCATCCATACGGCAGCCACGATGTTTTCAGCGAGGCGGTGCAACGGCTCCAGCGGCAACGTGAAGAGCTCCGGCAACGCCAAGAAGCCCTTCGAAAGGCCGCCAGTGAGGACCTTTCATGTCAATCATTGGTATTTAGAGGTTGGGTATTTAGTATTCGTATGGCGATGGGTCTGTATGTGGTTCATCAAGCAGTGGCTCGAAACTGCCACAAACGGTCCTTTTTTGTGTTCGAGAAGCCCTGACCACTGTCGAGCACCAGGAGACCAAGACATGCCAGACCCGCTCGTCCCAACTGGAGGACTTGCAGCGTGTCAAGTTTGAAGGCGCAGGCTCACAAGCCACGTTTTGTTCAAACTCAGGATCATCTCGTGATGAAGATTGCTGTCGAAAGAGGAAAGCAAGCTGATTTGTCAGCTCAGGTGGGCACGAGGGTCCTCAGGGAAAAAGGTTGATGTGATAAAGCTCCTGTCAAGGAATCGGTTGCCGGGAATCCAGTAGTAGAGTTCGTTGGTTAAATTCTTTCCAGTCTTAAGACACGGCTGCTGCAAGACTTCAAAAGTCTGATGCAGCTGGAGGTTGTGTTCGCATGTGTTTGCTGTTTGCTGTCCTCCCAGGTCGAAGAGCAGCGCCAACTGATGACACAACTCCTCCTGCAGCGACGAGGCAAGATCCTTCTTGAGACGGCCATCGAGGAGGACAGAAACAACCTGACATGAAATAGCATGACACCTGACATATCATGGGCGCTCGGAGGTGCCGTTTCAAGTTGAGAAGAACCCAGAGGGCTTGGTGCTTTCAGTGTGGTATGTCTTGCCCTCCCACTTCACAATGTTATATAATGTTATATAACTCTCACCCCTATGTGTAATATATGCATACAAAAATTATGTATCAAATACGTTTGTAGACAGGACAAGTTGCGAAGGAGCGCCGAAGAGATTGATTCTCAATGCATTCCCGTTGTCATTTCCTCTACAGAATGATGGGCCCCAAGGCCCGTAGAAAAGCATTCTGTAGTGATCTTTTTTGGGGTGACCATTTTGTAGTAACATGACTTTTTGGGCATTTTAGGAATTTGGCCAGCCAAGCCATTTTGTAGTCGCTTTGATTCATTTTGTATTTTGTGATTGATGATATGGCCGTTTGCCATGCATTCTGTAATCATTTGTTGTCTTCCAGAAAAGAGATTTGCATCCAGATGGGAGGGAATCAGGAAAAGACTGACTCCGCATTCGATGATGTAGCCGAAAAGCGGTAAGACAGTGCCAGATAGACGTTCCAGTCATTTTCTAGTGGGACCTGCGCTTTGCGCATACTTGGCCACTCACAGTGTTCACTTCATTTTCTAGCAAAATCTGACCTGCCTGGAAATGGGCAGCCACATCATTTTCTAGAGCTAAAGTGCAGCCACTGCATTTTCTAGACCCTCAACCCCAGTCCCTACTACAACATGCAAATTCCAACCTCACCCTGGGAAGTCACACGGGGATCTCAATGCTACGTACGGCGACCGCTGTAGGAGATTAAAGTTTACAGTGTAAGATGTTAAGGGACCCTGGGGTGTAGAGACTCGAATCGACAGCCCTTCATTCATCTTCATTCTGCTTGCTTTTAAACCTTTGGCAGGAGACGTGAGCCCGGATCACAGATCGAGCTACCGCCAGAAACAGCCAATAGCCAATAGCAGCATATGGGATACGATGGGCTACGTGTATTATGGTTGCTATGGTTGCACAGCTGTCATGCTGTCGCTGTCGACAGCCCGCAAAATGGACTCAGTCAGATCGTCTCTTCGACGCCTGTCTCCGAAACCTGAGAAGAACATAGAAGAACAACGGCGACGGTGGAGCTTGCGCGCAGTCCATGGTCGTGTGCCGCGCAGGGTCATGGTTGTCGAGTCTTCGCTCTTTTTGGAGGCTTGGCAGAGCTGAGATTGGGTTTTTGCTATGGCGAATGCGGCAAAGGTTTGGGTGGGACACGATCACATTGATACTAGCACTTTGTACGATTATGTCAGCTGCAATCGTCAACTCTGTAGTGGCATGGGCACTTCCACACAACATTGCTGCAAGCGCCTTGAAAGGTTCTTTTGGATGCAATCCTGGTCACGCTGGAGAACTATGAATCACTTGAGCCAGAATGATGCGGACCAGACGTTCAAACACGTGACACAGCCGCTACACATTGCTGGCCGGCGTTTTGTGCAGTGCCTAAGATTTCACTCGGTCCAAAGGAGTCCTTCCTTTGCTGCAATGAGCAAAGCTGGGAGTCAGCCAGAAAGACTAACATTTCATGCGCTCTCCTATTGCGAAAGACAAGCAACAATTGTCGAAATTCCGGATCATGGCACACTGAACTTGTTGGCTTCAAAGCCAGGTCCGAGCTCACCGCTGCATGCTTGCAAGCCCTGAGGAGGGAGCTCTGAAAGCAATAACTAGAGTAATTAACTAGAGGGACGCACAAGGTTTATGTCAATGTCGGATGTATTTTCACCCAAACGACGAGGCGTTTGGTGCCATCCGTTTCTTGGAGAGAACCAAGTCTTTTCGGATTGCTTATATTTTTTCCTTCCCATTCTTCAATCTCCTGTTCCAGCCATGTTCTTTGTCAGTCGGTCTGGTATACAGTAAACCTTTGCATTCTGTTGCCGTTGGAAATTGATTGAAGGGGTCGGTATAGCCGGTATAGCCCTCACGGAAAACCGGCAGGACGGACACTACTTTGCTGCAGCATTCAGATGGCCTTCGGATCCTGCCGGTGATGGGGCGACACCAGGCTCGCAAGTCTCGAGATCGCGCGAATTGGGTGCCAGCCATGGGTGAAAGGGTTTCGGTGGAACATGCTGGAACCCTAAACCAGCTTTGGTGCGTTCCCTCTTGGGATAATGAGGAAGGAATATGAAGGAATGCAAGCAAAGCAGGGACAAGATCTGAGTCTGATTCTTGTCTTCTCCTTTCTTCATCACTGCCATGTCTCCTGGTAGATTTGCGAGGCCGAAGCGTTCAGATGCCAGATGGTCTCAGCGAGGAGGACACACCGCCATGAAACATGACCCACTGGCTTTGGCGGGTCGGACGATCCTGTGCCAATTTGCACAGGCCATGATGGCACTGCTACGGCTGAGATATGGGGCCGATGAGGTGGAGGCCACACTCAATCCTTCATTGACAATTCGTGGCTTTGAAATCTTTGAATCAAGCTTCTGGTGACATCGGCCCTTACAGGCAGACTTCATATTGGAGGCAGGGGTTGTGGGTGCAGTGGAATACAGTGGAATCATCCAATAGGCGGACATATTAAATATGCGGACATTTGTTGAGTTGAACAAATGACCACGAACGGACAACAGGTTCGTCACTTTGGATTCTCAGCACGGGAAGGTTCGCCACTTTGCAGAGCTCTTGGATTGGCCAAATGCACGGAAATGCTGCGAGGCTCGGGGCTAAGCAGGCTGCATCCAGCAAAACGATGCTTCAATTATTTTCAATTGCTCAAGGCTGTCACCAGGATCCTTGTTACCTCGTTGTTCTGCAAGTCGAAAGAACAAGATGAAAGGGTGAAGGCACGTTAGAAAATCACCAGCTCTGCATAGCTCTAAACGGCATCGATCGAGTCCCATGTGCACGATGCCAAGGCCCACCTGGAGAGTCTCCTGCAGCAGTCTAAGGCGTGTCGATAGAGTTGATACATGTTGGTCAAGCTTAGGGGGTATCCGATCCATTTTGCTGCCATGTTGATCTTGTTATTTACACACGAAGTCCTTGGCAGCGAATCGACATCAAAAACATTGAAAAGGTTGTTCTTCTTCTTGGTCTTGCACCAAAAGTTTCTTGGCACTGAGTGAACATGAGTTAACTGACGTGTTGTGATGCAACCCTGCGACTTTGGCACAGGATGTCGACGGTGCTAGCTTGTTGGCGGTGGTGTCTCATGCAGAGGCATCTGGTGCAACATGAGCTCACTTGGGATTGACAAGTCTGCTCATGTGGACTCGCGCAAAGTTCTTTCATGTTCATTTCCTAGGGGAAACGTGAGTGAGACACGCTCGAAGGATGCGACTATTTTGGAAAACCTAACAAATAGAAGCACAAATAGAAGCCATGTGTCGTTGACTGAGCCAGTAGAGGCGTCATTAGCTGTGTTCTGACTGCTCGCCGGATTGGATTGTTTGCGATGTTGTGAGTGCATCAATTCGCCGGACTCCAGTTCTTGATTTTTTCAAGAAGGCTGGCGACCCTGGTTGAAGGGATAAAATTAGGGTTCACCTTCGTTACTGTCTTGTTCAAAATGTTCGTCGACGGGTGCACAGTAATTAACTCTTCCTTGATGGATGGTCGTTGGATGACATCTCAAGTCCGTACTTCTGCATCCTCCGCACTTGCGAAAGCAGGAGAGTTCCTTGATGCCTCCGCACCTCAAAGCCGCAGCGCTGGCTGCAGCTGTGAGGCAGATTCTAGGTCTAATATTTGCTCTTACCATGAATCGCTAGTAGGTTGGAGGCCATTGCTATTTTGGCCATGGTTCTTCTAGAGTGCGGGCCACAGACAAAACTGTGATGCCGCTGAGCATCCCACAGGCAGTGGTCACGAGTCGCAGAAGCTGCCGAAGCAATCCCTTCAGAGAGTTCCACCCTGTCGTCAAAGAGGCACAGGAAGCTTTGAAGCTGCGAGGAACGAAAGAAGAATCATGAAGATTACAGTTGGAACTTTGAGAAATGAAAGGATCCTCGAATGTCGAATGCTTATGAATGCTTCAACAAGCCAAATTCATCAGCCCCCTCATTGCCTGTGGCGAAGATTATCAAAGATTCACTTCACTCCCAAACCATGTCACGAACATTGAAGAACAATGACTTGGACGTCCCGCATATTCCAAAGCAGTTCAATCGTAGGCACGTGTTCTCATATTTAGAAAATGTGGCCCTTTGCGCCGCGGCCAACGGTGTGATCTGACAAACTGCCACGTATCTTGATACACTGAACCACTTGCCTTGCCCTCACAGGCAGGCGGAGCTCGGAACGTTGAGCCGTGTTCGACGTCGTGATGGCCACGTGTGTGGGAGTCCGGCACCCAAGAAACATGCCACAGTGTGACGAGCGAGATGCATACTGATTTCCGACGAGTATAACGACGGCCCGAAACTTAGAAGGTCGCATTTTCGGCACTTCAAAACAACAGTTAAATTTAGAAGGGGGGGTCCTGCTGTGCACCTTCTAAGTTTACAGGCTGTTTTGAATTACCATGCATATACCGCTATATGGCACCTTCGCTATATGTATATACATGATTATACATGTATATACTATAATATACTATATATATATATATCTATACACAAACCCTGTATCTATACACAAATGATTCTTGAATTTATTTGCGTTTCTTTTAATTTCACTCCATGTTGTCTTCATGTTCCTTTCGGTTTCCTTTCTTTGCTCTTCAACACATCGACCAAAGTCAAGGGAAATGAAAGGAACGGCTCCAAACATAATTATGTCACTCGTTTTTCTCTGTTTTTTGAATGCAATTGTTCGTAGAACACTAATTATTTCAAGTAGCCACTGACTGGTGATTCTAAGTTTGCCTACTGTTTTTGAAAACACGCAAGTTTGCCCAGAGGCATTCCAAAATCAAAAGCCCCAGTCGCACTTGTTTGCAAATGATGGTTGTGTTGCACTGCTTCTAAGTTGTTTGGGCCTGTGAAAAAAATTGTGTTTTTTTCACTTTTTTCAAAACACCCCTAGAACTTAGAATGTGCCACTTTTGGGGCATGCTAAGTTTATTTTCCTGCACAGGAGCGGTGTTGTATAGCCAAAATGTACCAAAAATGATTTTGATTAGTTTTTTTTTTTTTGGAAACGGAATGGCACAAAAGTCATTCTTAGTTTCGGGCCGTCGTTGTAATGTGTTTTTTGTTTCTCAAAAACAGTGACGACAATGATTTAGGAGTGAAAAAAACAAGTGTAAAAGTTGTGATTTAGGAGAAAAAAAGAGTAGT